TTTACTTGCGTTTTTCATGCCTCGAACTTGTTAGAATAAGTGCTATATAAAAATGTTATATATAGTATATATCCTAAGCGCGACTTAGGATATATACATTTTTATATAGCACTTGTTCTAACAGCTATTTTGATTAAAAAAATCGGACTCCTTCTAAAATGACATACCGATTTCTTTTCATATTTCGATTCTACGATTCAAATGATGGCAAAGTGCCAAGTTTTGTAAAAATCGCACAAGTAGTTTTAAAAAATTAGCTCTCAAAATTTTAGCTCCTCGGTGTTAATAGACTTTGGCAAATATTTATTAATATATCATTTTGTATTTAACTTATTTGATTCTTTCTTTCAGAGTTAGAAATTTAGGTTCAGTCCAAATAAAATCCACAAATATTTTCTAATTTCGTTTTAAGAATGAAAAATTTTTATTAGTAGTTTAAATTTTTGAATTTTTTTTTTTAGCTATAAAATTCGTAACATTTTCTCAACATCTTAAAGTAGATATATTTCTAGGCATACCTGCAAAAGATTACAGCCTTTTATTCAAAATTTCCAAAGATATACGCCAATTTATATACTATATCGGCGAGTAATTACCATACTAGTTTTTGTAATTTGTTTGTAATTTGCCATACTTGTTATAAGCGATAATAACGCTAAATGTGCTTTACGCACTTTGTTAAATTATTTGAAAGGATGAACGATGCACCTTTTATACACTCGTGCACAAAGACACGGGAAAGGAAAAAAGGTTACTACAAATTAATAATTTCGCCAAGTGAATTATTCTTGGCCTAGATTGAAAAGTGTACGCCAACATAAATGTTTAAATTTCTTATTCCTATATCTCCTGTTCTACTGGAACGACTGACAAAATTCAAATTTCGTTTTTCATGTCTCGAAAGCGCGACTTGGAATATGTATTAGATTTATATATAGCATTGATCTAACATAGGTATTTTGATACAAAATAGGAACTTTCCTGAAATAACATACCAATGTTTTTCCATATTTCGATTCTACGACTCAAATCATGCCTTGATATTAAATTTTGTAAAATTTGGTGCAAAATGTGCGGAGAAATTCAAAAATTTATCTTGGAGCAATTTTTTTTTTTTTTTTTTTTTTTTTTCCAGTTTGCGCCAAGAATAATTCACTTGGCGAACTTTTGAAAGCCAACCAATTTTCTTTTCCCTTCCATTATGACGGAGCAGAAAAAAAAAATGCACCTCGTTCCTAACTTTTTTACATTGTTTGCATGACCGGAAAAAAGTCACATTGTTCCTACTTTCGAATAATTTTAGAAAAGTGTTTAAACCACAATTTATGTTTTATCGTTTCAACAAATACGCCAAATTTTAAAACGCGCCAATATATAAATTCACGTATATCTTTGGAAATTTTGGATAAAAACCTAATTTTTTTGCAGGTAGACTTGCAAATACGTGTACTTTAAGATGATGGTAAAAGGCTTATAGATTATTACTCAAAAACGTTTTTTTGAAGAATATATAAAAATTATTTTAAAATACAAATTTTTAAAATAAATCATAAAAAAATGGGCGAATTTTATTTGGAATGTACCTGAATTTCGAAAATGGGAAAGGAATAATCAAATAAGTTTAATTAAAAAAAGAGAAATTAATAAATATATACCAAATTCAATTAACATAGAGGAACTAAAATTTTGAGAGATTTTTTAAAAACTACTCGTTCGATTTTTACAAAACTTGGTAGTTTGTCGTAATTTGAGTCGTAGAATCGAAATATGGAAAAAAATTGGTATGTTATTTCAGAAAATGTCAGATTTTGTGTCAAAATACCTAGTGCGATATATAAATCTAATACACATCCTCAGTCGCGCTTTTGAAACATGAAATACGCAAGTTGAACTTCGTCAATCGGCTCAGTAGAACGGGTAATACAGAACTGTCCCTTTTTTGCGCACTGTACATTAATTTTTAATGCTGGATGAGCATTACAATTTTCCGTTCCATCCTCTATATTAGTAAGAAATTAAAAATAATACTGCTACGTTTTTCTTTTCCTTCACGTTCGTACGGGGTTCGTGTGGATTTGGAGTGAATGATGACGATACTTGATGAAGTATTTTATTTACCAATATTTTCAGGACAGCTCCAAAATCATGTTTACAGTCGTCGAAAATCTCCTATAAACACGCTGAAACTCAGCGACACAGCCTTCAGGTTATCAGGCTAAAACGGTGGAGACAGCTTCACTGCAAAGCATCAAAGTACAGCTCCCGACTTTGCTCGGTCGTTTTGGGAACTCGACGTACTCTCGAGACTCTCCACGCTACAACTCGCGATGCACTCGACGACACACACAGCACAGCTCCCGACTCTTCGGTTCAATCGTTCCCAGAGCTTAACACACTCTGTCGACGATGCACTAACCGCGAAACGCTAAGAGACTCTTCCGGTGCACTCGAAGACCCACTCGGCACTCGCTGCCCGGCTGTCAACTCGATCGACTCCGCACGGACGGACTCGCTAGACGAGACATCAACTAACTCGTAACTTACTCTCCGCGTACGAGTAGAGTTTATATAGCTTTTGCTCTGTGTTCGAGAACATTCTGCGCTAAACCGGTAAGAATTCGTTCCAAAAGGTTCCCCAACCGTCCATGGTATATCGCCAATTTTGTCGCAAAATGTCGCCAAATGGGCGATTCCCCGCCAAATGTGGCTGTCCGACGTTTTTGCCATTTTATGGCAACCCTAATCTTGCTTTGCGGGGAAGTCATCTTACCGCGCCTGGACATTTCTTAACAATATGCAAAACTTATTACCTATTGCTATTAATTATTCTCCCAAGAAAGTTCCTGGCATAAGGAAGAGTACCCGTTATTAATCCCTTCCTATCCTTTGACGTAGACCAAACTTTTCCAGTAAGAAATAAAGGGGAAATAATTGTACTGTTTTATAAAAATTCCTATTGTTTTTATTATAACACTATGCTATGCTAAAATAGAAATGCCATAGATGAAATATACAATTTACATTACTGAAGCACTGCACACTATACTGTACACCTTGCGCACACCAAAAAATGAGACAGTTATATAGCTCCCGTTCTACTGGACCGATTGAATATTAAAAAAATTCTATAATACACATCGTTAGGTAGAAAAGTTCCAGGACAATTTTTTTAGTTCTGAATTTGCAGTACTAAAAAGGAACACTTTTTTTTTTTTTTTTTTTTTTTTTTGTTAGCTGGTGTGTATTCTTACTTGACCTTGGCCGTGTTTCCGCGCCATCTTACTAGGTGGCAGGGCTGTGCTTAGCAAAACACTCTTCCGATTGTTGTCGCATTCGTTAAAGTGACACAATGGATGTTGATTTTGAGCGAAGAGTTAACATTGAGTTCTGCGTTAAGCTTGGGAAAACCCCTAGTGAAACGTGGAACATAATTAAGCAAGCATAAGCTGGCGAGGCATTTTCAAGAAGTCGTGTTTTCGACTGGCAAAAAAGGTTTCGTGAAGGCAGAGATTCAGTGCAGGACGATCCCAGAGCTAGTCGCCCGTCTATAGCACATACCGATGCAAACGTGGAGCGTGTAAGCCAGTTATTACAAGAAGGCCACCGTGTAAGAAGTGTCAGAAGAACTGAAATTGAGTCGTGATGTGTGTCATAAGATTTTACGCGAAGATTTAGGGAAAAGGAAACTTAATGCAAGAATTCTCCCTCTCTCACTGAGGAAAGACTAAGAATCTCTGCTGAACTATTGGAGAGAGTCAGACGTGTCCACATTTGTGTCAAAGATTATTGTCAGTTTTTCTTGTTTCCGTTAGTGAAAAGATGACGGAAAGGAAAGCTTCGTCAAGATTATTGTAAGCATCCAACGGGCTGTGACAAATGAGCTTGCGAGCAACGTAGTTGAAGATTTCCCCGCTTGCTTCCAAGACCTCCAGAAACGTTGTCAGTTGTGTATATGTTATCGTGAAAGACCGAAATTGGAGAATGTCGACTTTCACCGGAGAATGTCAACATTCACCAAATGCGTTGGTGAAAGATCGAATATTGCATTACATTCATGTACATTCGGACCATCTCCGGTGTATGTCGACAGTCACCGATATGCTCTGGTGTAGGTCGAAAAGAGAGGAGTATATGTACGTGCTGTAATTGCAAAAGGAAGTGTTCCACAAATAAATGCAGTTCTAAAAGCAAGGGCTTCTTGTGCAATTCAAAGTGTCATAACAGTTTAAGTTGTTGCAATAAATAAGATTTGAATCACATAATTTGGTAAGTTTATAACTTCTATTATTTTCCTTTCTCATTTTGAATGTACTGTGTGTTTTAAGTTCTCGTTTTAAGTCTCAAGTGCTTTTTTTCGAGACTGAATTACGGAGAAGAAAATATAATATTCTTATATGTTCAACATTCACCACTAGTACATGGTGAATGTCGACATTGACCGGTGTAAGTCAGAAATAAGAGTATTTGGAAAATATTCGGACATGCACCAAGCGACTATGTGAATGCTGACATTCACCGGTGAAAGTCGACATTCTCCAGATTTCGGTGTTTCACCGTAACATATAGATAGCCAAGCGGTAGCAGCTAGGATTATTATTTGGTTAATGCAATTTTCTATTTTTTACGACCTTTGTCCTAGAAGTTTTCTGACAAAGGATGTATGTTTCTAGTGTTTCCGATCAGTTATTAACCAGAGTCGTAGCTAGGGTTTTCAGCGCCCAGGGACAACTGAAGATTTCGCGCTTCCGACTGTTTGCCAAGGCTGGAAAACATTTAATTCTAAAATGTTGTAACATCAGTTTGGCGTCCCTTGGATTCTGCGCCCGGGGTCAGATGCCCCCCTTGCCCCCTCTAGCTACGCCACTGTTATTAACTGATAGTGCTAAATGCCTATTTTTGATGTACAAATAAAAAATACATATTATACTTTCAGTTAATAGCAAACGACCCCTCAACATGTATTGACAATACTCATACTAAGAATCGTGGTGGAGTCTTACCTTTGTATAAGGATCCGGAAGTGATGTAATTCTCAGGAAGAAGCTTGACGTATCGAGTGCCGAGGACGAATGCTAAAGCCGCAAGCACAGCGCAGTCGCAGACGCCGATGATGGCCAGAATGTAAGCCCAGCGTACTCCGCACTGTCCTGGATTGTAGTCATCGGCTTGTGGACCACATACGTCCCGCACTATCTCGGAATCCCAACCAGCAGGGAACGTCAAGACACCGATCACCATGCAAGTGGCTGTAGGGAAGAAAAACAAGGATTAGAATAAAATATTATACTAGTACTTGGATGCGAGGGCAATTATAATCTGATACCAATAGTCATTGAAAATTTTGCTGATGATTGTTATTTTTCATTCTTGTTATCGGAGCATTAGAACAAGCATATTTGTATATTTTGTAATATTCAATTTTTTTCTGGATTAATTCCAACAGAACAAGAACTTAAGAGGAACTTAGTCAGCAGGATGTTTCGAAGAAATTAAGCGACAAAATATCTCTAGAATGATTAAGTCGTAGAGCCTTTCAGATTATCATAATTTTGGTCGTTTAATACATTTTAAGAGGACACATACACCTTAAAATCTATAAGATCTTAGAATAGGTGACTGTTGCAAGAATTGGGATAACTTATTTATTTTATTACATAATATAATATAGCTGCTTTCTGAAATAGTAAACAGAAAGTTTGTGTTGCCACAAATATTTTTATAATTTAATTCGCTTTGTGACAAAATGTTTCGTCCTGTTTCCACCTTGCGCGCTCACTTTAAAACATTCTGTTGAATAATTTAATCCCATATTTAATATATAGATTTTATAATATTTTTAAACTACTGTGAACCAAATATTCTAAGAATTTCATGTTAAATTCTTATTTTATTTGGAGTTGAATTTATAAAATGTATTTTATTTTAAAAAAACCTGTAATATTTTCGTGCATAAATTTTTTTAATATTGAAATATTCATCAGATTTTTGGTTCGGTTAGAAAAAAGTGCCCATATAAGGAATTCCATCCAATTTCAAATATGTACCATTAGCCATTTTTAAAATATTATGCGCGCAAGGTGGAAACAGGACGAAAAATTTTGTCATAAAACGGATTAAATTACAAAAATATGTGTGGCAACACAAACTTGCTGGTTACTAGTTTCCAAAGCAGCTATATTATGTAGTCAGCTGTAAAAAGCTGGAAGTAATTGCTTTTAAAATAAAATAAAATATTCCAATTCCTGCAACAGTCACATATTCGAAGACCATAAGGATTTAAGGTGTATGAACCCCCTTAAAGGAAAATTTAATACAATTTAAATTTTTATGTTGGCAATGCAGAAAAACAAAACATTTTTCAAAGTGAATTAAGTAATGAGGAAAATATTCCTATTGGCTGACAGTTAAAAATTGACCAAATATTATATTTAAACAGACAGCTAGGGATTGTGTATCAGTTTCACCTGAAAAAAGCTTTTTCATGTCACTTTTCAAATGCATTACTTTTAGCAATTGCATGTTTATGTTAGGGAAGTGTGAAAATTTGAGATTTTTAAGTTGATGAAATTTCATAAAATGCTAAATTTAAAAAATACAAATTTTTTAACAAAATTGCATTTCGAACGCGATCTTTCGAATCTTGTTTCAGGCCTCCACGTCGAATAGCAATAGTTTAAGCTGCATAATTTTCTCCCGACCAATTTTACAAATTATAGAACCAGTTTTTTTTTTTTTTTTTTCTTTTTTAAATAAGAGTACCGAACGAAGAAATATACATTATTGCTGTCCCCCAAAAAAACTAAATTTTGAATCTTTTTATGGAAATATGCCATGTGATTCAAAATTTCGTAATCTAACATCATATCTTTATATTTATATACTACATAATTAATGATTCAGTTTTAATTAAACTGTTAAATATTAATTCTGGTGGTTTCTAAAGCTAGAATCAGAGCCTAGGACAATTAAACAAGAGATAACTTAGTAGACTGCAAGTTGAGAAATCGTTTCGAAATAAATGGTAATCTTAAGAAAGACAGGCCTATGAAATAATCCATCGACATACAACAAACGTCTTTGGCTGCATACACTTAATGGAAATTACGTTCGAATTGAAACATTCGGGCATTCATGATCTCCATCTAATTTACAGATTTATCGTCCACGTAGTAATTGTTTTCGTCGTACTAACGAACACAAACTCCGGAAAATTACCTGCGAAAATCACCTTTTTTTTTTAAACCTAAGGAGCATTAGACCCAAGGGCTATTAGTTTGAAAAACGGCATTTTGGGTCGTTTCACTTTCTGCGTTGGTTCACTTTTTAAACTGTTGCCACCAAATATTATCGCCATGTATTATATTTAAAGAAGCAAAATAATAAAGAATCTGCGTTAATGTGTCTCGCATTGTGAAAAAACAACGGTACCCGGAGCCATCCACTTTCGAATAACGTAGTCCTCCAATCGAACTTGAGCAGTTGGAAGCCTGAATTTCGAATTTGTGTTATTACCTGTTTCATACTTTGCAAAACCTTAGCGAATTTTCGATTGACAAACTCAACGATTTCAAAGCGAGCAATACCAACACTCTACGAAAAAAGAAAAAAAAAAAAAAATTATTCTCCAGCGCGAGAGACTGTATCAGACATCCTAAAGATATGCTGTTTTTAAATATTTTGTGATATTGTTGTTGAACTGGATTTCATGTGGTTTAAATGCGAAGAACATGATATTTAATAAATAAAATTAACACAAATGTTAAAAAATGCCCTTTTGGGCATTATGTAAAATGTGAAAGCTTTTTTTTTTTTCCTAGCCTAATACAAGATCTGACCCAACTCAGTGAAGCGAACCTGAATTGACATGAAGTCTACGGTTTCGCGGAGTAGGCTACACATTCATTTTCTTAAATTATTTATGAAAGATTGGAGATCTCAGGAGTAGCGGAGATAACAGTAAGAACAGGCAAGATTCAAGTTACAAGGACCTATGAAGATATCTTGTAAGATACAGTAATGTTAACACTACTATATAGAAATGTAGGTTATTATTTGTTTATTTTCAATAAATAGTATAACAGTTATTTGTAATCTAATAACTAGTTTTAATTCTTTATGCTCTTTCTGCAATCACATCGTTCAGAAATTAAATTATTCTTATAATTTTCTCCTCTCGATTTTGAACGATAAAATTAGTAGAGCGAAAGCTGGAAGAATACACGAAGAAATAACATTATTTATGTTAATTACAAAGTGTAAATAGACTATCATGAATATGAAAACAAAATCTGTTGTGTACACCACATGACTTCCCTATACGGAATATTAAATTATACACACTTTTTCCTGCATTTCGTTTAAACTTATTTCCTCGAACTTCATTACAGATATATTTTTCATTCAGTTAATTCACTTCTCATTTCGGCAAGGGAAAAATGCAGAAAACCTCAAAATATCTTTATTAAAAAGTGAAAATTATAGAAAAAATAAAAACACCAAAATACACTTAAAACAATCAAAAAAAAATTTTTACAATTAAAATTAGAGTTTCTACGCAAAAACAAGCAATTCGGCCAGAGGACAATAAGGCAGATTTTTCGGTACACAAAACTGAAAGTTTACTTTTGGTCCCATTCGGCAAAAAGACACTGAAAGTGCAGAAACTGACTTAATTCACTATTCTGCTAAGTTTCAAATGTAAACAAATATGGCTGCTAAGATAAAAAAATTATTCTTAGCAGCACTTAACAACTTTCAAATTCTTGACAATTCTAAAATTATTGCATGCAGATTAACTAACGACATGAAAACCTTAACCGTAAGATAAGACCAACATAATTCAATCATTTTTAAAGCAAAACACGCACAATTTATCAACATATAAGAATAAAAAAACTGAGATCACAGAGCCGAGTAACAAAGTGGGTGTAATATATATATACATATCCACTCTGTCTGCAACCAAAAAGGAAGGTTTTCAACCAAAAAGGCGGATTCCAACGAAAACGGGAAGTGCACAACTACATGTTATAGCAGTCCCATATACAAAATTTCAATGTTCTGTGGCTACTCGTTTTCAGGTATGCGATATTATGTGTACGTTCGTACAGCATTCGCTATATATTCTTTACATTAAGTGGGCCCACCACTTAATGTAAAGCGGTCGAGTGGTAAAGTCGCTGAACACTGGTAGTTCGGTCCGAGCTTCGAATCCCGAGAACGGGCTGGCTGCATGGGCGTTTTCGTGGTTTTCCCCCATGTGTAACGTGTATACGAGCCAGTTTCCCTTAGAAAGTCTTTCACGAACACATCCCTCCCCTTAAGCAGATAGCCCTCGTGTGCTTTGCCATAATTAAATACACCACACCACTCTACATTGAGTGAACTTTCTTTATTCAAAATCTTATGATACATCGCTAAACTCCGTTCATGACCTTTTCTGACGTTCTTTGACAAAGAATTGATAGGTTTCATTTCATATGCAGGGAGGAAAAAGAAATTTTAATGCAAAAATAATATATATGATGTTTGTTACAGAAGAACTACTGTTTACCGTAAAGTTTGTTTCCCCATGCTAAATCATATCAATCTGTAAACGAAAAATAGCTTCTTTTTGCTCCTAAGTGTACTGCATTTTTATAGTTTCTTCTTAAGAATCTTTGCCTCCTAAAGAAGTCAAATATTCGAAGCTGATGCCCATTAGCACGGAGCTTTTTTCCTGCGGTCAGTGGTGAATCTTTAAAAAATATTTCGTGTTGTTATGGAAAAAAACATTCTGGTGTTGGTGATATTATCAGGCTATCAATGTTAGAAATTAATAACAAGAATATTAATGTTAGAAATAACATTAATAACCTTGTCATTATGAATTTTAATCCTTTTATCAGTTACGAAACGATTTTAAGTTTCCAAAATTTCAATTTTCAGATAATTTCCTAATCTACGCATTACAATTCTTGTTCGATTTTTAAACAGTTCATGGTTTTACAAGTGGCCGAGTATTTAAGACCGCTAAATGCTGAAATTCAGACATCCGGTCTGGCTCTGTAGTAGGTTTTCATGATTTTCCCTTTTGTTACGTGAATATGAGGCAATTTCTCTTACAGAGCCCTCCACGAAGGCATTATTTCCCTTAGGCAGATAGCCCTCGCATACACTTTTCCATATTTTAATAACCTAACCTAACGTAATTTTAGAGATTCCATCTCTAAATTTTATTTTGCGGGGAATTGATAATATATCTTTCCAGTG